GCATGGGCCCAGCTCTCCAGCCTGTCCAGGTGCCTCTGGATGGATCCTGTGCTCTCAGCATTACCCAGAGCTGTTGGAAGGCTTTTGTCCCCCTGGATTCCAGAGGCCAGGGCTTGATGGAGGGAGCAGGCTTTGCTCAGGAGGAAGAAGGGGATGAGTAACACAGTTCAGTGGCTCAGATGAGCTTGTTCCTTGCACCAGCTGAGCCCTGGGGTGCCTCTTGCTGGTGTTTGCTGAGCATTCTGCTGGAAAACCACCTGGAAAGGATGGAAACCATCCAGCCCCCTTTGCTTTCCTCTCCCAGCCTTTGAAGACCCTGTCCAAGGAGCGCCCATTGCCGAACATCTTCAACCTCTACACGGTTCTGACAGTGCTGCTGCAGTTCCTGGTGCACTTCCTCAGCCTCGTGTACCTGTACCGGGGCGCCCAGGCCCGCAGTGATGCCAAGTACGTGCCTTGAGGGGTGTTCCCTCTGCTTCCTGCCAGGCAGGAGGGTGGGGAGAGGCCTTTGGCAGGGCAAGGATGTGCTGGAGCAAGTGGGAATCTGGTCCATGCTACAAGGCAATTCCAATGTCTGCTATGTGTGGAGAGGGAAATCACACCGATGAGGTGGGATACTGGGAAGCTTCTCTGGAAACCCACACAAAAACTGGGATAAGGAATGGTGGGAGTCTTGAGAGCAGCCCTGAGGGGGGTATTGGTCGGTCAGTAAGACTCCCCCCTATGCTGGGCTGCACACACAGCACGAGCAGCAGGTCCAAGGTGGGGATTCCCCCCCTGTATCCTAGTCCCTGACCCCCAGCTTCCTTCTCTTTCAGACAGGAGGAGTTTGTGGATCTGTACAAGGAGTTTGAGCCCAGCCTGGTGAACAGCACTGTCTACATCATGTCCATGGCGATGCAGATGGCCACCTTCGCTATCAACTACAAGGCAAGCCATGTTTAAGTTGTGTCTTGGCAGCACCACAGAAGTGACCTTGGCATGAAGGGGCAATAATCCAACCCGAATGGCAAACTCCCTTCTGTCAGTGCACAGCAGGGGGAAAAGCTCTCTTTTTGCTCCGAGGTGATCGAGTGAATCGTGCAGCATCCTCTGCTCTGCAGCAATCCAGCATCGCCTCTGCTCACGGGTTCTTGCTGTGTTCCAGGGCCATCCCTTCATGGAAAGCCTCCGGGAGAACAAGCCTTTACTGTGGAGCATCCTCCTTTCTGGGCTCGCCATCGTTGGTCTCCTCACGGGCTCTTCACCGGAATTCAATGAGCAGTTTGGCTTGGTCGAGATCCCCACGGAGGTGAGCAGGCGGCGTTCCCTGCTGGGAATGCCGGAGGGGGTTTCAGATGGGATCATAGAATAGTGAGGGTTGGAAAGGAGCTTAAGATCATCCAGTTCCAACCCCCTGCCATGGGCAGGGACACCTTGCTCTAAACCATATTACCCAAGGCCTCGTCCAACCTGGCCTTGAGCACTGCCAGGGATGGAGCATTCACAATCTCCTTGGGCACCCATTCCAGTGCCTCACCGCCCTCACAGGAAAGAATTCGCTCCTTATATCCAATCTAAACTTCCCCTGTTTCAGTTTTAACCCATTACCCCTTGTCCTACCACTACAGTCCCTAATGAAGAGTCCATCCCCAGCATCCCTATAGGCCCCCTTCAGGCACTGGAAGGCTGCTATGAGGTCTCCACGCAGCCTTCTCCAGGCTGAACAGTCCCAACCTTCTCAACCAGAATGGTTTGGCTTGGAAAGGGCCTTAATATCACCCAGTTCCACCCCCTGCCATGGGCAGGGACACCTTCCAGTAGAGCAGCTTGCTCCAAGCCCCATCCAACTTGGCCCTGAGCACTGCCAGGGATGGGGCAGCCACAGGTTCTCCATTTGACCCATCAGGAAAGGAGCTCAAGCTCTAGTGCTTCCGTAGTGCATTGGGAGCAGAGGGGAAGGAAGGGAGCAGGACTGACAGGTTGTGTCTGCTCTCCCAGTTCAAGGTGGTGATCACGGAGGTGCTGCTGGCCGACTTCTTCCTTGCTTTGGTAGTGGACCGAATCCTTCAGTTTCTGCTGGGGAGTGCAAAGCTCAAAGTGCCTTCCTGAGCTGGACACCCAGGGCCTTGCACCCACCGAGGGCAGCACCCAGGGGCCGTCTTCCATCACCCCGCATCCTTTTGGACCTTGACTCTGAGCCCGGTCAGAGACTGGCGTGGGGGAAACTTCCTGCCAAAGGCTGTGGAAAGCACTTTCTGTGCCCCAGGAGCTGGCTTCTTCCCTGGTTCCAGGCCCTTCTCGGGAGGTTTTTACTGCCCTGACGTTTGAGGAACCGTTTACAGCGTTTGGTAACTAAAATGAGAATTGATGTATTTTGAAGGGCGTTTGGGGCTTTGCTTTGTGAGGCAGAAACCTTTGGGGGGGTTGAGAGAGAACGGGATGAGGGGCAGGAATTCTCCCCCGTCACCACCCTCAGAGGAGGGGATGCTCAGAGGGAAGGGTGACAGCACATAGGAGAACAAGCAGTACACGAGCCTCACCAGCCCTGAGGTTCAGAGCCATCACAACCACGTTGTGGCAGGGGAGAAGAGAAATGAGTTTATTCTTTGGCAGCAGAGCGACTGCATCGCTTGAGCTTAGCCTGAGCTTTAATCAGTGAGGAAGAGGAGCTGAGCCCTGCAGGGGAGGTTTGGCTGCACTTTACACCCCCTCTGGGGCTAACACACGCTGGGGGGGAGCCTGGCAGCCGCCGTCTTTTCAACCACAAAGGCATAATTGTACTGAAAACACACCAAAAAACCACCCAAACTGGTCAGGAGCCAGGGCTGGGAGTGCAGAAATTCACCCTTTTCACATGCATTTTGTGATGTTTCACCAGCAGTGCAGCCACTCACCTCTGCCTCGATGTCAGCGAGTGATTTAACATTCAGGTCACTGAGGAGAGCCTAAAACAAGCCCCAAAGCCATGTTTCTGCTTGAGGGAGGAGGGGGGACTAAGAAGAGCAGCTTAAAGGAGGACTCACGTTGCTGCCAGAGCTGAGCCTGGTGTCAAATTTGGGGTGTAGGGTGAAAGGGACTCCGTCCATGGCTGGGAAGAGAAGGAAGAGGCTTTAGGGATGGTGGAGAAGCTGCTCAGGGGACACAGTTACCTCCTTGGGGCATAAAGTAGCTGTGGGTGACATGGATGTGTGGTGCAGTGAGTCCCTACAGGGAGGGGATGGGATGGGGCCTGGACAGGCAGGACCATGTGGACCTGATGGAGTCAGGGCAATCCCAAGCACAGAGGCTGGATGGAGCAGCCCTGAGGGGAATCATGGGATCAACCAGGTTGGGAAAGCCCTTAAAGCTCATCCAGTCCAACCATTCCCCAGCACTGCCAAGGCCACCACTCACCCATGGCTCTGAGGGCCTTAGGTTACAGTGGTTCATGGTGTATGACTCCAGCACTGCCCTGAGCACCCTAAGGGGAAGGAATTGGTCCTCATCTCCATCTAAACCTCCCAGGTGCAGCTTGAGGCCGTTTCCTCAGGGCACAACCCCTGCCCTGGCCCTGCTGCCTCCCTGGTGCTGAGCCAGGCCAGGATACTGGTGGCTTGCTGGGCACAACCTGCTCATGCTCAGCTCCATCACTCAGCACCCCCAGCTCCTTTTCCATGAGCAGTTTCCAACCACTCTTCTCCAAGCCTGGAATGGTCCCTGGGGTGTTTGTGGCTCAGGTGCAGGATGCGGCCCTTTGCCTTGTTGAACCTCATCCCATGGATCCAGATCCCTCTGGAGACCCTCAACACTCCCAACTTGGTGTCAACAAAGCAGCACTTTGTTACCTGAGAGGCCGTAGATGTTGGAGGTGTCGTAGAGAGCCTCGTGCTGAGAAGCAGCGCGTTTGATGCTGCAGGGAGCAGCGGGTGCCCTGGAGCAATGGGAAGAGGTGAGCAGCCAGAACCAGCCTTGGATGCAGGGAGCAGGAACTGGGAGTCACAGGAGTTATTCCTGGACTTGGCTGGGGAGTGTATGAGTGTACCCATAGTCAGGGGACTGGAGCGAGAGCTGCTTCAGGCCTGTGCTGATGCTCCGTGGCTTGGGGACAGGCTTCAGAACGGGCCCTTTCTTACACCAGATGGCGAAATTCCCCATTTCCCTGAAACGAAACCATCCCGGAGCCAAGCTGGGGCTTGGGACAAAGGGTTGGGAAAGGGCTGGTGGAGGCAGGGGGAGGGCCCGTACCCTGCTCTGGTGTAATACGGGAGGGTTTTGCTCTTGGAGCTCAGCTTGATGTCAACCACGGCCGTGTCGGTGGCGGCCACCGGCTGCAGCTTCACATACAGCCGCTTCTTCCGGGAGCCTCCGGGTCCTGCGGGGCAGGGGGGAGGGAGGACCGGGGGTCACCACCCCCTGCTCGGCCCGGTCTCCTCCCACTTTGGGGCAGCACTTACGAGGCTCCGGGAACTCGGGGACACGGGTGTAGCCAACGGGCTGCGGGCTCCGGTCGCTCAGCACTAGCACATCGGTCACCACGGGCCCGGGAGGTGCCTGGATGGGACCGGGCCGGGACCTCAGCACCACAACCACAGCACCGCCCCCCCCCACACCGGTCCCGGTTCCCCCCCACCCCGCACCTGGGCTCTGCCGCCGCTCACGCACAGGTACCCGCCGCTCTTGAGCCCGAAGCCTTTGCCCAGGTTGGCCGCCGCGCCCTCCACGGTAACACCGATCTGCGGACACACGGAGCCGTCAGCCCGCGGCAGAACCGGGCGGCGGGGCCGACATCGCCCCCGTTTCCCCCGGTGCCTACCACGGTCCAACCGGAGGGGACCGCTTCGGGCGCCGCCGCCCAGGCCACGCCGGTGAGCGGCGCCTCGTCCGCCGCCATAACTGCCGCTTCCACCGCGGAAGTGGCGGAGCTCCGCCCCCTCCCGTTACTGAGCAGCCATTGGACGAGCGCTGCGACAGGGAACGGCGATTGGCTGAAGTGCTCCGATTGACCAATAAGAGGCGAGAACCCCGCCCTCCAGCCCGCCTTCAAACGCGGAAGCCTTTATTAACAGCCAGCACCGCTCAGTCCAGCGGCTGGCGCTGCCTCCGCGGCGGGCCCGCGATCAGCTTGCGCACGGGGGACTGCTCCAGGTGCCTGAAGGTCCTTGCAGCTGCAACGGGAGGAAAACCCCCGTTAAAGCCCGTTAACGGCGCCCCCACACGGGAAGGTTCCACACCCCCCCCCCCCCGCCCCTTACCGAGCTGCTTGGACAGGCCCTGCAGGTACTGCTCGCTCTCCTCGGAGAAGGTCTGCAAGAGCCGCCCCGTTTGCTGCAGCTCATCGAACTGCAAAGCCAAGGATGAAGGGCACAACCTGATCCCAAAATCACCACATCCCGGCTGGGATAAGGAGGGATTTTGCCCCTAAACCCCCCCTTTCCCCAAGCCCAACTCACCACCAGCTCCATGGAGGCCAGCACCTCCCTCTGCTCGGCCAGGATCTGCTGGTAGTTGGGTTTGCTGCGGAGGACCTCGGCCTGAGAGGTGTGGAGGTAATCCACCGGCACGCTGTTATCCCGGTGCTCCTCCAGCCGCCTGTGGGACAGGAGTCATTTATCCATCAGGACCAGGATGGTTTCATGGTCAGTTTAACCCCCACACATAGGAACCATGGTGGGTGCTGATTCCCACCTGGCTGCTTCCTCGGCGCTCTCCTGGTGGCGAAACAGGAGCTCATCCCAGGCATAGGACTCAGCAGTTAACCTGCAGAGCAAGGAGAGAGCAGCGGGTGAAGCAGGGCCACAGCACAGGTTCCTTGAGGCAAAAATGGCAAAATAGAATGAATTCTGCCCAAAATAGCCTCAAGAAAAGGGTGGGGAGCCTCAGGCTCTGCCCATCCTGGGCCTACCTGGCCATGTGCTCCTTCATTTCGGCCACTGACTCCTCCACGGCCAAGTCCTGTGACACCCTGAGATGGAGAGAGAAGCCAGTGGGATTTAGGGTGGTGCACAGGAATCCCAAGGGATTTAGGATCCTCAGTAATGACCCCCCCTAATATTCAGTGCTGATTGTCCAGCAGCATCAGCCCCAGGAGCCCCAGTAGCCACAGGCAAGGATGCCCCAGGAACCCCAGTAGCCACAGGCAAGGATGCCCCAGGAGCCCCAGTAGCTGCAGGCAATGGGGTCACTGAGCAAATTCAGGTGAGCAGATGGAATTCCTTCCTCATGTCTGGTCTTTCCACTTCAATCACCCCTCAGGCTCTCATCCCGCTCCCCAAGAGCCCCTTCCCACCTTTCCATCCCACAAGGGATGAGCACAGCAGGTCCTTACCCTTCTGGTTCCTGGACACATCTCTGCAGTGTTCCATCTTGTTTCAGCTGCTGCAGCAAACGCTTCAGGTCTTCCCCAGCTGACTGAGCTGGGGATGGAGACACAATAAAGCAGGTTAACACGATGCTCACACGTGCTGCTTGGAGAACTGGGAATTCAGAGCTGCTTCCTGGTGTGATTCCCTGTGGGAATGTGTTCTAGTGATTCATTATCCTGTTTCTAGAGGAGGAACTCATCGCTGTGGCCACCAATTACTGTGTCTGCTTGTCTTTGCTCCCAGAAACTAAGGTCACACACAGCATCCTAATTAAGGGCTTGTAGGGACAGGATAAGGGGAATGGCTTTAACCTGCCAGAGGGGAGGTGGAGATGAGCTCTTAGGCAGAAGCTCTTCCCTATGAGGGTGGTGGCACACTGGGATGGGTTGAATGGAGATGGTTTGGATGAACCATCCCTGGCAGTGTTCAAGGCAAGCTGCTCCAGTGGAAGGTGTCCCTGCCTGTGGCTGCACTCCACCCCTCCAGAAGATGCCTGGTGTCATTCCAAGAGGATTCCAGGGAAGTGTTGCTAGTTTGAAGCTCAGGATTCCGCTTCCTGATGTGCCTTTGACCCCTTACCATTGGCTCTGAAAGCCTCCAGGTTAAAGCCATCCTTGTGCTTCAAGCTTCGCTCAAGCTTCTGGGCTGCAAACTAAGGAGAAGATGGGAAAGGATTTAGTGGCCTTTCCTGAGGTGGAGGACAAAGCTCATGGGGGGTATTTGTTACTGAAGGAGGAAGGAATCCTTCCTCCCAAAGCAGAACGTTTGGTGGCAGAGGAAAGGCCTCACCTGGAAACTGGAGAAGAGCAGCTCGGACAGGCGGTCCTCCTCTGGCAGATCCAGGCTGATTGCTTTGCTTAATTCTGGGGGAGAAGCAGAACACTGCTCAAGAACCATTAAATGGCTCCAATGTTCCCAAAAGACACCAGAAGTGGTTGTACAGCAGTGCAGTTTGCAGGAAAAGGATCAAGAAACAGAGTTCCCAATGAGGAAGTCACACCATGGCAAGAAAAGGGCAGAGACTGCAAAGCACTCATTTGAGGCAGCATCTCCTTTCATCCTCGAGTATCTCCAAAACCACTTCCAACACTGACATCAGCAGGTAGGAGGCAGGAATAACGCAGCCACGCTATTTGTGTATTAGCTATCAGTAGTTATTCCTACTGGTGGTGCCATGAAATCAGATTTCAGCTCATCTGATTCAACTGATGGGATCTGATTACATGATCTTACGAACCTGTATGATCTGATTTCAACTGATCTGGTCTGATGAACCTTTATTCTCTAGAGAAAGCTGCGTGGAGACCTCATAGCAGCCTTCCAGTATCTGAAGGGGGCCTATAGGGATGCTGGGGATGGACTCTTCATTAGGGTCTGTAGTGGTAGGACAAGGGGTAATGGGTTCAAACTGAAACAAGGGAAGTTTAGGTTGGATATGAGGAGGGAATTCTTTCCTGTGAGGGTGCTGAGGCACTGGAATGGGTGCCCAGGGAGGTTGTGAATGCTCCATCCCTGGTGGTGTTCAAGGCCCGGTTGGATGAAGCCTTGGGTACCATGGTTTAGTGCGAGATATCCCTGCCCATGGCAAGGGGGATGGAACTGGGTGATGTTAAGGCCCTTTCCAACCCTAACTGTTCTATGATTCTATAATTTCAACTGATACGATCTGATTATACGACCTGATGAACCTTTATGATCTGATTTTAACTTAACTGATTCAACTCACACAGAACAGGTGGGGTTGGAAGGGACCTTAAGGATCCTCTGGTTCCAAACCCCCCTCTATGGGCTGCTGGAGGGAGGGCTGGGCCATACCTGTGACATCCTGGTGAACAGGGGGCAGGGATTTCCTGTCTTTGGTCTTCAGGCTGGACCGGCTCCATAGGTTTGGACTGAGGGGGCTATTCCTGACGCTGGGATGCCGGAGGGAGCTTCTCCTCCTCACTGCTCCGGTTGTGTCCGGGGAATGAACGCTCTTGCTAACAGCGGCATCAGGCAGCTTTAGGCATTGCTCAGGGTCCCCTTCCTTCTCTCCAGAGTCGGGAGCTGAGATAAGGACAGTGAACAACACGATGGAAAGCGAGGAAATGGCCTTTCTTATGGATCCTAAAGCACCAAACCTGCTTTTCGCGCTTGGCTTTCCAACCGGGAGCAGCGGATCGCTGATCCCTGCATCCCCCTTCAGCACCTCCCGGGACGGAGCTCCTCCTCTTGGCCCCCCTCCCCACCGGGACCCGAGCTCAGCCCCGCCGGCTCCCCCGTTCCCGGTGCCTTCTCCCAACCACCTTTACCTGACACAACACCCGCGGCCTCAGCGCCCGCTCCGCCGACAAAACGCTGAGGGAAGAAAGGGTTACGGGGCTGGAAGCGAGGCCTCCCCGCGGCTCCCACAGCCGGGCCGGGCGCCTTCCAGCGCTCACCTCCTCCTCCTCGGACCCAGCAGACGGCAGCGGCGCGGCCGGGCCAGACCCGGAGTCCTCCTTCCCCTCAGGGCCTCCCTCCGCCATCTTGGGAGGAGGCGGGAAAACGCGCGGCGCATGCGCAGAGCTCCGCCCCCCACCGCCTGAGGGAAAAGGCGGGAAGACGCGCGGCGCATGCGCAGAGCACCCCCATTGCCTGAGGGAAAAGGCCGAAAGGCCAAAAAAAGGGGGAAAAAGGGGGAAAAAAAGGCTTTGGAAGTTTATTATCTTTGATAAAATCCCAAGGGAAAGGGGCGGACTCTTTGTTAACAGCTGCGGGGGCGCGGTGGGTTCGTGGCACGATGGATGGGATGAAGGAGGAGGGGAAGGTCCGACCCAGAGCGAAGGCCAAGGGCGAGTTTTGGTCAAGCAATTCCCATTAACTGGCTCCCCAATGAAGTCTCGATAAGAAAAGCTTATTTTCCTCTACAAAATGACAATACAGAGAACGCATACAATTACAGTACAGGGAGGGGGGGGTTGGGGTAACTGTTAATAGCTATTGACTAAAACAGAAAAGTCATAGTAAAAAACAGTGACAGAAATCAAAAGAAGTCCTTTTTTTTTTCTTTTTTTCTGAAGCTGGAAAACCTTAGAAGCGCCGTTTTTAGGTGCTGGCCCTAAAAATCCGTATTTTAACCCAAGAAAACAAAGTGAATTTGGTTTGGAAAACAAAGTTAAGAGTTCTCTTAGAACCATTTCACATCCCAAAGGGGCACAAACGGAGGGCGAGAGGTAGAGAGGTACCATTGGAATCCCAAGCTCTTGGTTCCAAGGGGGGGGGGGTGGGTCTGAGGTAATCAGCTGAGTTGTGTGAAACACCGGGGTTGGCAATCGAGCAACACTGACAAATGACACTAATGACCCCTTCCCTCTCATTAACAGGTCCTAGGGACTCAATTGGACGCATCCGAGTTCACGCTTCCAGGGTCTCCGGCTGGTGAGGTGATGGATGAAGGGGTGGGAGCATCCTGCCAGCTGCCATTAGCCTGCAGGGAGAAGGAAAGACATTGGTTTCCATTGCGCCCTTAAAGCTTGCTGGCCACCAAATTGGCTAACAGCTTCCCAGATGGGCAATACCCAGGCCTTGGCTCAGCAATAGAGCAGGGAAGGCCCTGCAAAACCTCTTCCCCTCGCAGATTTGATGGGGGTGCTTTATTCCCAGGGCTCTTCCTCACGGCAGGAATGAACTGAACTGCACTGATTTCCACATGGTCCAGGGCAGTATTTGAAATCAGGCCTCCCGGAGGGATTCCATGAAATGAGAGGATTGGATCCTGTGGGATTCTGTGAATTCCAGAATCTGGCTCTATATGACTCTATGAAATTACAGAATCAGATTCTGTCTAGTTCTGTGAATTCCAGGATCAGATTCTGTATGGTTCTATGAAATTACAGAATCAGATTCTATATGGTTCTGTGAATTCCAGGATCAGATTCTATATGGTTCTGTGAAATTACAGGATCAGGTTCTCTATGACTCTATGAAATTACAGAATCTGATTCTATATGATTCTATGAGTTACAGAACCAGATTCTATATGGTTCTATGAGTTACAGAATCAGATTCTATATGGTTCTATGAGTTACAGAATCAGATTCTATACGGTTCTGAGTTACAGAATCAGATTCTATATGGTTCTGAGTTACAGAATCAGATTCTATATGGTTCTATGAGTTACAGAATCAGATTCTATAGGGTTCTACGAGTTACAGAATCTGATTCTACATGGTTCTGTGAATTACAGAATCAGATTCTATATGGTTCTATGAGTTACAGAATCAGATTCTATAGGGTTCTACGAGTTACAGAATCTGATTCTACATGGTTCTATGAATTACAGAATCAGATTCTATATGTCTATGAGTTACAGAATCAGATTGATACGATTCTGTGAACTACAGAATCTGATTCTATATGGTTCTGTGAACTACAGATCAGATTCTGTATGGTTCTGCGTTACAGAATCGGATTCTGTATGGTTCTATGAATCATAAAATCACACTCTGTATGATTCTCTGAAAGACTGGTGTTTTATCCATCTTTTCCGTATCCCACATCAGTCATTGGGGGTGGGGGGAGATACAAATTCAGATCATTAACCAGATATTGGGCAGAATTTGTGTTTCTAAGTCAGTAAAACCTCGGTCCATCTTACATCTATGCGCTGCGTCGTATACAAAGGGTTCCCCACGATTGTGTCGTATCTTCCTGCCTGGTGTATGACATGATGTAAGGAATCCATCTAGAAACAAGGAGAGCAATGAGGATTAAACAAGATCAAGTGAAAGTAATGCAGTTGTGTCTGGTACGCATCGCTTGGACCAAAAACTCTTTAACCCAGGGGCAGGTTTCCTTGCAGGAAGCCAGGTTTCCTTTGCAGTTATAGCTATTAATTGAGCTACACACAGCTAGTTCATCAACACGTAGAGTTAGAATGGAGAATCACACCTAGCACTTAAAGATTTTATGGCAGAGGAGCCAATTTTATGCAGTTCAGCTGGATTTAGACATTTAGGATGAGTTTAACGATGCTGTTGAGCACAAATCCTAAGCCGGGTTCTAGTTACATGGAACAAGACTGACTCTAAGATGAGCAAATACCCATTCATTCATGTAAAGAGAGCAAAGAACCCCAACACTGCCTAATCCAACCAAAGCAAGGTCAAATAGAGCAGGTTGGTTCTGAGTAGCTCCAAGGACGGAGACTCCACAACCTCCCAGTCATCCTGTTCATACCATCTAAAGGACAGAGAAATGGGATTTTAACACCAGGATAGTTTGGGGGTTTTCTTTTTCCTTACTGACCTGTGACTGCACATTGGCTCCCACTGGAGAGCTCTGGTAGGAGGTCAAGGACTGCAAGTTGATAAACGAATCGCTGGAATTTGTCATCTTAAAAGAGCCGGAGGAAGCTGAAAAAACAAACCCAAACCCACATTTTAATGAGAAATAAACCCCACCCCAAATGGTTCTGCAACGAGTATTACAGAAGTTGAAAGGAAAAGACATCCTACAACTGGTTCAAACACCGGTATTCCATGGTACTGATTATCACAAGGAATAACTGGAGACTCCCAAGCGGCCAAACCCTTCCCTGGTGCTGTGCCTCACCTGAATTTGGTGTAGATGGAGAATTTGCCTGGTTGCCTTGAGCCACGGCATTAGTTGCATCCACTGCTGTTTTTGCAGCGTAAATATTGGCTTCTTCTTGGAACTTCCCCATGTTCTTCTTGTAGCGAATTCTTTTGTTACCAAACCAGTTGGAAACCTGGAGGCATACATCACTGTTAGTATGAGCTCAAACTGCTCCATTTGCCACTAGATTCACAAGTTGCCAGTAAAGGAGATGTCTGAAACTAGGCTTTGCACAGAAAATAACTACTAAACCTTTTGGAATAAGCAAAATCATGTTTAAGTACTGGTAACCGAAGCCTATTGCCAACTATGGGAGGGAGAAAACCCAAACCATTGTTTGAGGGGAAGAAAAAGGGTCGCTTAATTCCAGCCAAACCACTTTGTACCTGTGAAACCGTGATGCCACCTTTCTTTGCTAGCTCTTCTTTGGCCTCTTCACTGGGGTAAGGATTACTCAGATGTGAATAAAAATACTCATTCAGCACCTCTGTTGCCTGTTTGCTGAAGTTCCGCCGTTTACGCCTAGAAAACACGAATTATTCCTATTTAAATGATGTTATGTATTGGCTACAGGACACTGTCAGCTTCTTTTCAGCTCTAAAATCCACGTGTTTTGAGGAAAAAGGTAAGAGTTGAGTAGGATTAAAGAGATGTTGATGTCAAAGTGTTCCCTAGCAAGCAAAACAGAGGATGAATCCTTCCTATTTCAATCCTTCCCAGGCACAGCTACAGGTTGGGCAGAGAAGTGATTCAGAGCAGCCTGGGAAGAAGGACTTGGAGGTGTTTGTGCACGAGAAACTGAACGTGAGTCAGGTTCAGTGTGTGCTGGAGCCCAGAAACCACCCCTGTCCTGGGCTGCACCAAAAGCACCGTGAGCAGCAGGTCGAGGGCAGTGATCTTGCCCCTCTACTCTGCTCTGGTGAGACCCCACTTGCAGCCCTGTGCGCAGTTCTGCCCCATCCCTTGCAGTGTTCACAGCAGGTGGATGGAGCTGGATGATCTTAAGGTCCTTTCCAACCCAACCCATTCTATGGTTCTTCTGCAGTGAAGCAAGAGCAGCAGTTCAGGTTTAAGCCTCTGCTGTGGCCGTACCTGGCGTCGAGGAAGCGCGAGCGCAGGATCATCACGGCCTCGCACGTGCTCTGCTTCAGCTGCATCTGGATGGTGCTGAACTTCCCGTGGATGATGTTCACCATGCGCTCGATTTCCTTGGGCGAGATGGGCCTCGTTCGACTCTGCTCCCTGAGCAGGTTCATGACGTGGGTGGTGAACTCGCTGCAGGCCTGGAAACACACACATTTGTATCCACAAACAGGGAAGCGCGCTCCGGTCCGTTTCCCCGACATGAAATTAAACCCAAACAGCTGCAGAGGAGCTTCCATGTTTCAGCTTTACTCTATTCACTCTCACAAAAACAGCCACACAGAGAAACGAGACATTTGTTATCTTCAGTTTGTTGTCCAGGCCCTCGATCTGCACCTCACTTCTGCAACACTGAGAGCCCTTTTCAACTGGATTTGCTACCCTCGCGGTCCCCTGAATTCCTTCTACTCCCTGTTGTGTCCTTACAACCAAACACCCAAGGAAAAAACAGTTATTTGTAATTGAGATGATAAAAACTCTTCCATGCAGAAAGATCACCTGTTCATATTTCTCTAGCTCAGAGTGGTATATCTGTCGGATCTGTGACAGCTTGGCCCTGTAGTCAGAGTGCTCAATGCTATTGTCATTTGGACAGCCACCTGATGTTGCTGCTACAGCCATCGGTCCTCCTCTTCCTCTTTTCTCGGGCCCGGAGACACCCTCCGCCAGCAACATGTTATCTAGTCTCATTAGTTGAGCATCTGGGGGATCTTCTTCCTGAATACCGCGAATACTTAACACTAGACAGACATAAAGAAGGAATCAAAAGGTTATTTTGGAAC